CATCGATGGCGTAACATCAGAGATCGATGAAACAACAGCTGTTCAAGGTATTCAAGGTAAGGTGTCCATGTTACTATTATCACTGTGAATGCATATACTAAAAGATATATGCAAACCTCTAGCAACAAGTAATTCATTTTACCTTTCGCCTTTGCAACTGGGTTATCGGCACATTCTGGTACGTTACTCCGATAATCACAGCCTCCGGATACTTCGTTGAAAACAAGGCCATCAGTACATGGTAGATGCTCAAAAACTTCTTCTCCAAAGCACTGCAAACATTTGTTAAAAGGCGCAAAGCAGAGCTGTATTTTTTTATAGTGGAAAAAAAGTCTGCAAAGTGGCAGGTAATGACGATCACACCTGAAAGATCCTTGTGCAATCTTCAGGATGCCGATACAAACCATCTGGCCGATCGAGGCAAAAAGTTCTTCCAATATCAGCTGGTCTAATTGCATCTGTCAGTAATGCAGGGTGTCCGACGCATTCAGGATTTTGGGTTCGGGATACACAGACGCTCGCTGCAGCAGAAAATGTCTCGAGATGTTTAAAGCAACGTCTCCAGACTGGCACACCCTGCAACAGTTACAATAACTGGCCAACGCACGGGCTGCCCGTGCGAAGATGAGTTTTTTGCATAGCTCCCTGCAGATTTTAGTCGCGAACGACACTGGCTTTTCCGGCAGATGCTTCTAGCTAAAAGAATTTCAGACTGGCCGTCAAAATTCCAGTCTTCTAGCTTCTCACATCCCCGAGTTATCAGTTTACCCGAAAAAAATTTTGGCGAGTTCGTACGCGGGTACCACGCTTGCCCGGAGACTGGGTAAGAGCTCATTAATACCCACTTGGACGGGAACATCCCCCCAAGATTTCAGCTTTCTAGGCTCTCAGATCCCCATGTTACGAACTTACTCGAGAAAAACTTTGGCGAGCCAGTACGCGGGTACCACGCTTACCCGGAGGGCTTGGTTTGAGCCCACTAATACCCAATTGGACGGGGAGCATTCCCTTAAAATTTCAGCCTCCAAGCCACACTGGTTCTCGAGTTAGCAGCTTACCCGTAAAAAACTTTGGCGGGTTCTTACGTGGGTACCACGCGGTTAAGACCGCCCATTTCGGAGATGGAAGCCCATACTTGCATGTAGATTAATTTCCCCAAGTTTCAGTCCCGTAGCTTTTGTGGGTCTCGAGTTGAAAAATCGATACAGGCACGCAACGCACACACAAACACACACACACACACACAGACAACATCTCGTCAATATGCGTTTTCTGCATTGAATAGCTGCAAAAAACGCATAAAAACTGTAAATGTTACTGGATTCGGATCTTTTACCCGATCGCGGAGCGGGAGTGATACTGGGTTGGACTGTGTCAAGACATGGCGAAGTATAAATCCTAAAAGTTTCAGACATGTACAGATGCCAGTATGTTGCATTCTGCCCGACAAATTTTGAGTAAGAGCCAGTGTCAAACTGAATGGAGGGTGATAATGCAGTAAAAGTCCTACACTTATTCAAAACGCAAAATGTAAAATGAACGAGGCGGCATGGAGAATTTGGTCAGGGCACCGACTGTCGGTGCGAAGACGCGTTTTCTGCATAGTTCCCGCAAATTTTTGTTGCTAACGACACCGTTTTTTACAGCAGATGCTTCTGGCTGGAAAAATTGAGACTGGCCGGCAAGACTGTCAGGAAGCATTCATTTAAAATTTCAGCTTTCTAGCTTTCCTGGTCCCCAAGTTAGTAACTTACGTGTAAAAAACTTTCACGAGCTCGTACACAGGAACCACACAAACCCGGGGGCCAGGTTTTACTCATTAGGGCCTACGTAGATGGGAAGCATCTCCTTAAAATTCCAGTCTTCTAGCTCTTCAGGTTCCCGAGTTAGCAAGTTACTCGAAAAAACTTTCACAGGCCCGTACTTGGGAACCACACGTACCTGAGGGCTGGGCTTGAACCCATTAAGACCTACATGGATGGGGGAGTTCTCGTTAGAACTTTAGCTTTCTAACTTTTCTGGCTCCTAGAGCTAGCAGCTTGCATGCCAAAAAACAGCGGGTAAGAGCGCCCACTTGGGGACTGGAGCCTGTACGTGCACGTAGATCATATTCCTATAGTCCCAACTCTGTAGCTTTTATAGGCCTTGAGATGAAAAATCGGTACAGACGCACATAGAAACACAGACAGATACACACACACACACACACATAGAAAACCCCTCGACAATATGCGTTTTCTGCATTGTACAGGTGCAAAAAAAAAGCATAAAAATGAGCCCGAGTACTTTGCAGTCCTCCGACCTCTGCAACTGGACAGAGAGAAGTCACTAAGAATATCCAGTGACAAAGTATACCGTCATGGGTTTGGACCTCCTTACATGCATTTAAACCTGTAAATTGTAACTGAAGGGTGGACTGGACCTTCGCCACCAAAAATAACAGAATACGATACAACATACTCGGTGTCTATGAAACACCGCAACAGGGCCAAATACATTGTAACCTGAAAGAATGGTACAACGATTTGCTTTACAAGCGAAGGCAGAGAAAGACTAGCTGAATGGGTTCTACTGTCAACAAGAAGTAATTTCCCGAAACTATTCGTCAATTGCAATCATCGCAAAATCATTCCGAAAACAAAGGCGATGCAGCGATTTGAAGCAGACTTTGTTGACTTGGAAAGTACAGTTCCACCGAAGATTGCATAAAGAAAGGCTGCCAGTTATAAATTTCGCAGCACCGTTGGTGTGTTTATACTGTCGAACTGAACCGTGCACATCATTTCAGCATCACTGGCTGAACACAATGACGTATAGATGCAAAATGTGGCCATTAATGAAAGCAGAAGGGCAAACAACAGAGAAAGTAACTGGTAGAAGGATGTTCGGAGTGTTTATTCGTAAGCCTCAACGCCGTTAGATAAGCGCTGTAAATAAAGTCAATACGATCATGCGGAAAACAAAAATCCGATGAGCAGCAACATGTTGCCTTCCTTGTTGACAACCGCTAGACATCGAGTTGCAGTAAGTACTTACTTGAAAACATACAAATTAGGAATGAATGGCCTGACACAGTTGCGCTTAGCTTATAGACACATCCCAGCAACATTATAACACCCGGCCGTCATAGCGGATGCCCCGCAGTGCGACATTTGCTAGACAATCAGCAATTCAGGAGAGAAGTTACCTTCATGCACATGTAATATTGATTGAGACAAATACCCCGACTCTTCGCGACGCCATCCTCTACGCCATCACATATTCCCTGTTCTAGCGACTTGGAACCGGCTACAGCTTCGCCAATTATTCCACACTCCTCAGCTGGAACACAGCGCCCGACATCTTCATCAAACAAATAACCACTTATGCAGTACGACTGGAAAAAAGGACTTCTGCATTCATCTTTAAATGTGCAAAGCAGGAGTTGGTTTAATGCAAACGTCAAATGGTTTTCTTTCGCTGCCACTGAAAGCTAAGCCAGGGCGATGGACGCGAATTTAAGCTGGAATGGTGCCAAAGTCAGCTGTCACCTTCTAAGTTTTGCTAAGTCGTATAAAACTTAACTCAAGTAGCAACGCATCAGGCTTCTCGATGCGAACAACGTTTCTGCGCACGGCAAGAAGCAGTCATATCGCTAAAAATATGGATGATCGCTGCTTTACAGTCTAACATTTGTATTCATGTTGATAGTGTTTTGGTCTTTTCTTACAGTGAGAACGGGGAGAAGAATGGTGTCGGTTAGGAAGCCAGTGGTGCGTTATGCGGTGCTTGAAGTACCAACCTAAGCATGCATTATCATCGATAAGCATGCATTATTCGGTGACTGGTTGTTCACCGGGAAATTCAAGTCGGACAATGAACAGGATATCGACAGACAAAAATGACGAAGTTCGCAAAGTGCACTCGTTTTTTAGTTAGCAATAAAATTAAGTGCATGTCATGTTTGTGTACAGAGAATTTAGCCTCCAAGCTGAATTTAGACCAAACGTAAATATAGGATATTCTCGCAAAATTTCAGCTTCGCAGGTTGTCCGGTACTCGAAATCGTCAATTCGCTACAAGTATCTTTGACGTTCCCAAAAGTACGCAACTGCAGTTAGAGACTTCATTTAAAAATACGATTTACGAGATGGACGAAAAATATTTCAGCAAAACTGCAGCCATTGTTTTCCGGCTACTTTCCAAGTTGTTACGGTGCTTTCACTCTGCGCGCAAAGCAAACGTGCGCGATAGCTCAGTTTCAAATTTTTTGCTCACACACAAACAGAGAATGTCCTTGCAGAGTTCCAGCTTCCTACTTTTGCTTATTCTCGAAACCAATTGCCACCAAAAAATTTGCACGTTTTTTTTAGAGATCCGCACGTGAAATTTAGTTGCACCTGAGTGCTGATATCGCAGGATGGAAATGTGTTACTATAATTTCAGCTTTCCAACTTTCCTGGTAGCTGCGTTGAAAGTACGTGACAAAGTTTACTCGCCTCCGAACACACACACATAGCCCAGGCTGGAACGCACCAGGCTTACCGGTGCGATTATGCATTTTTGCACCCAACTTGAAGTACTCAGGCCATTAACTGCATGAATTTGCGCTCGCTAGCGTTAATCATCGTAAATTTGGCATAAAAAAATGTAAAATTTTCGTTTAAAGATTGCTCTTTGAAAATAACTTAGCTATTCAGTGAGCAATTTTCCTGCCAAAACTTTTGAGTACCAATACGTGACAGCCGTGTATACCTGGAGGCTGAGTTTGAAATATTTAAGTCGTACTTGGACAGGGAACATTACCCTAAAATTTCAGCTTTCTAGCTTTTACTGTTCCCGAATTAGTAATTCTCCTGCCAAAACTTTCAAAAGCCCACACGTGAACGGGGAACACTTCCTTAAAGTTTCCTTCAGGCTGTTCTGGTTGCAGAGTTAGCAATTTTCTCGCCAAATCTTCCGCGTGCCCGTACGCAAGAACCTCGAAAAAATGTGGACTGATTTTAAAATCTTTAGCTCACAAATGCACGGAGAATATCCTTGCAGAGTTTCAGCTCTATCTTGTCTGGTTTCCGAGATCACTTTCCCGCCAAAAATTTGCATATTTTTTTCAAAGTGTCCGTACGTGGGGCCCAGGTGTACGAGGATGATAATATTACAACAGGAGGGTCGCACAGGTGATGCGCACATATTCCCAATGTTTCAGCTCTCCAGCTTTTCTGGTCCTCGAGTTGAAAGTG